AATCCGTGTTGTGTAGTCCATGAATTACCAGATTAGCTTGTCGATCACGTCTCCATCGAACAGTTTCTCCTTGTTCCAGATCCACAAAGTCACATAACAATCCACCAGGGTCCAACGATCCCCTGGTCTGATCCGTACTAGACTGATCCACGTATTCTGGAATAATCCGCGCGAGGGCTTGTTCAAGAGTCATCCCGCCGCCCCATGACAGCCAGGATGGACGCTGAGTTTCAAAGAAGGTACAGAGGGCCAAGATATTTAAGAATCATGAGTTCTAGAAAAAGGATACAACTTGGATAAAGTTGGATGTTTACCTAATTTGCGTAAAAATCAATGTCGGCTTCAAGATACTAAGACAATAAAGGAAACTATCGCTAAGTATTTATTCTTTGATCTTGCTTCTCACACTGTGATTATGAGCGGTTACTTATACACTGCTAAACACTTCTTTAGCCTAACCTACTAACCTAGGTTATACTATTGTACAAAGCTTACGTTATTTCAAACTTTGATGAGCACTCCATTCTCCATCCTTTTTCTACCGCTCAACCGGGTCCAGAGCGTAGCACTTAACTTCACCAATAACTCCTTACCAGTGTCCGATCTGAAGAACCTAGTCCAATAGCAGGTGGCCGCTTCGCTGTCCTCTATATCATGTTTATTTCGGATGTTTACCTAATTTGCGTAAAAATCAATGTCGGCTTCAAGATACTAAGACAATAAAGGAAACTATCGCTAAGTATTTATTCTTTGATCTTGCTTCTCACACTGTGATTATGAGCGGTTACTTATACACTGCTAAACACTTCTTTAGCCTAACCTACTAACCTAGGTTATACTATTGTACAAAGCTTACGTTATTTCAAACTTTGATGAGCACTCCATTCTCCATCCTTTTTCTACCGCTCAACCGGGTCCAGAGCGTAGCACTTAACTTCACCAATAACTCCTTACCAGTGTCCGATCTGAAGAACCTAGTCCAATAGCAGGTGGCCGCTTCGCTGTCCTCTATATCATGTTTATTTCGGACTGAGTTAACCGGTCTCAGATTCATCGAATGGCCAAGATTCTCGGTTTACAGAAACTCTAATCAAGTCGGTTCCAAAAGATGAAGATCTTTTTCACTGAGAAAAGTCGGATTATGTAACAAGGAAGGAGTTTGTTTAATCACTATGAATCAAACTTACGGTGTAACAGAAAATCAGGTTGAATATCCATTATAATCAATACCAGAGGGAGAAATCGAGATTGCAATTCAGATTAAATTATCACACCCAGCAAACCAAGAATGTTCCATCATTAGGTATTGTACTGAAGAGCCTACTGATGGCGCGACAACTAGTATCCGATATACATATACATGTTCGGATTGACAGCAAGCCTCCCAAAGCCGCAATGTGGATAGCGTGGGCGTCTCAGGTTGTGACTAGTTCCCCTTTCCTTACACTTTGCGAAATGCTCCTATACGACCAAGTGTCTCAAATAGCCTCCGCTAAGGAAGTCCTACTCAAGTCTTTCCATTACGAAAATGTTTTACCAACAAAGTGAGAGGAAGAAAAGTCAACATTTGGGGCTATAAATGGGTCGGTGAACCACTGGCAGTTCATATGGGGAAGATGACTAAAAACCCTGATTTCAAACGAGCCAAGATGAAGTGTAGGAACCACACACATACACCGCCATGGTTGAGGATGTGATCAGCGGCTCAGTGGAGAATCGAAGTGTATTGGGCACCTTCGGTGTTTGACCCCGCTCAAAGGACCTATAATCCGATGAACTGGACACCGGTCCCCAATAGACAACGGACTGCTGTCTTGCAGGTCTAACCAACAGTTTCGGGTGGGGACTCCTTCCTCGGTCAGAGCAACCGGGGAGTAACATGTTCACACAACCTACGAACACATTCTAAGGCATTTTTCTTCATATGATGTGGCACATTTGCCAACTCTGTATAACTGGTTACGTGTTGGGTACGTGTATAGGAAGAGTAAGCATCGTAACAATGAGAATGAAGGCCAAATCGTTTAACGGTTTTAACCAATCGCACTGTTTCACGTAAGGCAACTGTATACGATGTTTGCAAACACTGATTCATGTAATTACTTTGGAATCGGATGCCTCTGAGATTCTAGATTCATATCACGCATAAAATATAGACAAGTGTGTGTGTGTGTGTGTGTGTGTGTGTGTGTGTGTGTGTGTGTGTGTG